TTTTTGGGTTGAGATTGGGTCAGTTGTTTAAGGGGGGGTCATTGGGGTTTCTAATTTTGGGGGTCTTTCTGAGAGTGGGGGGTCAGTTTGTCTGACAGTTTTTAGTTTGTTTGAGAGTATGGGTCAGTTTTTCTGACAGTGGGGGGTCAGTTGTGTTTTAGTTTTGGGGGGTGTTTGTTGACAGTGTGGGTCAGTTTTTTCTGCCCAGGTGGGTCGTTGTGTCGGACAGTGTAGTGTTTTTTTCAGCAGTTTTCTGTCTATCAGGTTAGTGTTTTCAGCCCTCTTCTGTCTATCAGTCAGGCTTGTGTTTTCAGCACTCTTCTGTCTATCAGGCTTGTGTTTTCAGTACTCTTCTATCAGCCAGGTTTGTGTTTTAAGCCCTCTTCTATCTATCAATCAGGTTAGTGTTTTCAGCACTCTTCTGTCTATCAGGTTAGTGTTTCCAGCACTCTTCTGTCTATCAATCAGGTTTGTGTTTTCAGTACTCTTCTGTCCATCAATCAGGCTTGTGTTTTCAGCACTCTTCTGTCTATCAATCAGGTTTGTGTTTTCAGCACTCTTCTGTCTATCAATCAGGTTTGTGTTTTCAGCACTCTTCTGTCTATCAATCAGGTTAGTGTTTTCAGCACTCTTTTGTCTATCAATCAGGTTTGTGTTTTCAGCACTCTTATGTGTATCAATCAGGCTTGTGTTTTCAGCACTCTTCTGTCTATCAATTAGGTTAGTGTTTTCAGCACTCTTCTGTCTATCAATCAGATTAGTGTTTTCAGCACTCTTCTGTCTATCAGGTTAGTGTTTTCAGCACTCTTCTGTCTATCAGGTTAGTGTTTTCAGCACTCTTCTGTCTATAAGGTTAGTGTTTTCAGCACTCTTCTATCCATCAGGTTAGTGTTTTCAGCACTCTTCTATCTATCAGGTTAGTGTTTTCAGCACTCTTCTATCTATCAGGTTAGTGTTTTCAGCACTCTTCTGTCTATCAATCAGGCGTGTGTTTTCAGAACTCTTCTGTCTATCAATCAGGTCTGTGGTCTGCTTCTTCTTTATGGCAGCGAAACTTGGTGAAGTTATTTGTACCAGAAGAAAGGTAAATAGTTTAGGAAGAATATCAGACATTAAGTGGCAGGACAAGATCCCAAACACTGAGCTACTGGAAAGAGCAGGCACTACAGAAGTTGTTTTAAGTGCTCAGTCTCCAAAGGACCAGATGGCTGTCAGATGAAGGATGATACAGTGCCTACAGAAATCCTCTGTGGTCGATTACAGACAGGCAGCAGATGCTGAGGCTGGCCTCTACTATGAAACAAACATGTGTGGAGGTGGGACATTTTGGGACACAGAGGAAATGATGGCAACAGAATGTCATGGACTGTGTTGGAATGGGGAGGGGGGGGGGGGGGGGGGTTTGCAAATAATGTCCCATAGACGGGCCTTGAAATCTGATGCACTCATTGTAGAAGATCTTGACATGAGCTGGTCATCATTGGGAATATGGTTGCCATGTCTTCCTACAGCCCAACAGAACACTAGCACCTGGACAGACAGACAGCTGCCCACTCAAGGACATTTCATCAAAGTCACAGAACTGCCAAAGTGGCTACTGTCCCCACAGTGTATTTTCAGGGCCGTTATTTGTCCTTTACAATATGCAAATGTGAATTCTTACTTCAGATAAGGCAACATAAAGTGTTACTTTATAACTACGTTTCCATTTCCCATTCAATGTGATTTTCTCAAAACAGGAAACTCAGCATTCAGATGATTTTGGTGTAGTGCCAATAAAAACACAGACATATATGCAGAAATACATATACACGCACATTCATTTCTATATACAGATAAAGATATGCAGAAATACATATACACTCACATTCATTTCTATGCACAGATAAAGATATGCAGAAATACATATACACGCACATTCATTTCTATGCACAGATAAAGATATGCAGAAATACATATACACGCACATTCATTTCTATGCACAGATAAAGATATGCAGAAATACATGCAAATGCACATACATTTCTATACACAGATATGGCTCCTGTATTCTACTTGACTGAAAGTCCGTGAAGGATACATGGCAGGAAGTAGTAGAACCAAGTGGCATACATCCAAAACTTGGTGGCCAGGTAGATGGAGATGGGCAGTAACTGGGCCATCTGAGAGTCAAACATGCTCCTGTAACATGACAAGCTGGCATAGGTTAGCACACAGACAAGGTGTTTGTGAACATGTTGACATAGCTACAGTCAGACAAGCAATTGATTACTTCAATATACACAAACAAACAACCTACAGAATATTTCAATATAACCACTAACAAAGAATTAGTGAATTCTTGAACACAAGGAGATAAAGAGACAGATTAGCAAATACTTGAACAACTCAAAGGAACATATATAATGCAAGAAAAGATATGACATCTGTACATACAACAAAATACATGACATCTATACATCTTTTTTTTTTTTTTTTTTTGTATTTTGTTGTCTCACTGATACCAGATGGTAGCCCATTTTGCTGTGGTTTTCTGTATCTGTCTGGCGATTCTCAGGTGACTTGCATGATGGATTTGTTTATCTTTCTAGCAGATTTTAGTTCAACCATTTATCCATCTCCTTCTTGATCCTCCCATCACCTTCCTCCCAGAAGCTCTTGAAAAAGTCTCAGATGCAGTTTGGTCTGGCTGCATTCTCACTAGATTTGATTCTTTGTCTATCAATACAATCCAGATATGGTCTTATTCCAACTTTCTCTCTAATGCTGGCATTGATAACCCTGTCCCTTCATGTGTTGCTAGTGACCTTGATATGTGAGCAGTTTACTGAATATGACAAAAGTGAATACCTTTTTTTTTACAGATCAAGAGTCGGCATTCGATCGAGTCAAAAGATGCAAACTATGGAAAATTCTTGAAGATTATGGTATTCAAGATCAACTCCTGGTTAACATCACAGCTCTTTATCAAAACAGTCAGTGCACAGTAAGAACAACAGAAGGAATGAATGACAGTCAGGTTCCCCATCTAGAAGGAATGAACGACAGTCTGGTTCCCCATCTCATCAGGTGTCAGACAGGGATGTGTCATCTCACCATTGCTGTTCATTACTTACATGGACAGAATTACACAGGAGGCAAATATAGACACTGCAGAAACCAATGAATTTGTTTTTTGCAAAGAATCAATGTCTAACAGACCACCTATTACAGAATTTACCTTATCACACTGACTCCTTCAACCAAATCTGTACAGAGTATGATATGAGAATAAAAGCCGTGAAAATTGAGAAAATGAGGACAGGCGGGTAACAATAACATGAACGTTCATGTTAACAGTATTACAATCAAACTAGACCACGTCTAGTTGACAGTTCTACCTGTTTCCTCCAGGTGAATGGTACAAGTATTGGTTCACCTGTCCAGTGGACAGTTCTACCTGTTTCCTCCAGGTGAATGGTACAAGTGTTGGTAAACCTGTCTAGTTGACAGTTCTACCTGTTTCCTCCAGGTGAATGGTACAAGTGTTGGTAAACCTGTCTAGTTGACAGTTCTACCCGTTTCCTCCAGGTGAATGGTACAAGTGTTGGTAAACCTGTCTAGTTGACAGTTCTACCTGTTTCCTCCAGGTGAATGGTACAAGTGTTGGTAAACCTGTCTAGTTGACAGTTCTACCCGTTTCCTCCAAGTGAATGGTACAAGTGTTGTTACACCTGTCTAGTTGACAGTTCTACCTGTTTCCTCCAGGTGAATGGTACATGTCAGCGACCTAATTTACTATAATCATTTTCTATGGCTCGTTAGGTAGGCCAGCTAACAGACTTCACTACCCTGGACACACTCAAGACACACACCGGCTGAGTACAAACATAATCTTTAATGTACAATGAACAATACAGCTATAGACACTTCAACTAAGCTGGCAGTTCTTACATGAGAATTCAAATATCTAGGAAGCATACTTACAGAAGAAGGCAGACTCGATAGAGAGAAGCCAGAGTACAGAAGGCAAATGCTGTCACCTACCAGTTAGCCCCACTGCTTAGACACCCAAATGTCTCCCTTCCAGCAAAAAAAGCAGTCTTTACAGCAGTATATTAAAACTGACTCCATATAGCATGCGAGAATTCTTTTCCGAACCTCCAATGACATGAATTTATTGCATAAAATGTTCTTCTTTTTGTAAAATGCGGTTTTAGCCTGTCCATCCATCTATTCATGAATACAACAAAAAGTGACGTCTATACATATATAAAATACAATATATGACATACGTACACACAAACAACAAAATATATGACATCTATATATACTATATAATGATGAGAAATCTCAGGGAAATCTTGGTGGCACCTTGATTCAATGCAAAATCTCAGCGTATATGACACGTATGGACGGAAAGGTAACTGAATGTTATTATTCCACTGTGTGTTAGCTGTGGAAGTCTGAATATGACGAGTGAGAACACCAGACAATAACACCTGGGTTGTTCAACAATAAACGATATTTACAGAGCACTTGGGTGATAATATATCTGACTATCTGATCATACTAGCATTACATCAGGACAGATGGGATGTTCATTACATCAGGACAGATGGGATGTTCATTACATCAGGACAGATGGGATGTTCATTACATCAGGACAGATGGGAGGCTCATTACATCAGGACAGATGGGATGTTCATTACATCAGGACAGATGGGATGTTCACTACATCAGGACAGATGGGAGGCTCATTAGATCAGGACAGATGGGAGGCTCATTACATCAGGACAGATGGGATGTTCATTACATCAGGACAGATGGGATGTTCATTACATCAGGACAGATGGGATGTTCACTACATCAGGACAGATGGGAGGCTCATTAGATCAGGTTAGATGGGAGGCTCATTACATCAGGACAGATGGGATGTTCATTACATCAGGACAGATGGGATGTTCATTACATCAGGACAGATGGGATGTTCATTACATCAGGGCAGATGGGAGGCTCATTACATCAGGACAGATGGGAGGCTCATTAGATCAGGACAGATGGGAGGCTCATTACATCAGGACAGATGGGAGGCTCATTACATCAGGACAGATGGGATGTTCATTAGATCAGGACAGATGGGATGCTCATTACATCAGGACAGATGGGAGGCTCATTAAATCAGGACAGATGGGATGTTCATTACATCAGGACAGATGGGATGTTCATTACATCAGGACAGATGGGAGGCTCATTACATCAGGACAGATGGGAGGCTCATTACATCAGGACAGATGGGATGTTCATTACATCAGGACAGATGGGAGGCTCATTACATCAGGACAGATGGGATGTTCATTACATCAGGACAGATGGGAGGCTCATTAGATCAGGACAGATGGGAGGTTCATAACATCAGGACAGATGGGAGGTTCATTACATCAGGACAGATGGGAGGTTCATTACATCAGGACAGATGGTATGTTCATTACATCAGGACAGATGGGATGTTCATTACATCAGGACAGATGGGAGGCTCATTACATCAGGACAGATGGGATGTTCATTACATCAGGACAGATGGGAGGCTCATTACATCAGGACAGATGGGAGGCTCATTACATCAGGACAGATGGGAGGCTCATTACATCAGGACAGATGGGAGGCTCATTACATCAGGACAGATGGGATGTTCATTACATCAGGACAGATGGGAGGTTCATTACATCAGGACAGATGGGAGGTTCATTACATCAGGACAGATGGGATGTTCATTACATCAGGACAGATGGGATGTTCATTACATCAGGACAGATGGGATGTTCATTACATCAGGACAGATGGGAGGCTCATTACATCAGGACAGATGGGATGTTCATTACATCAGGACAGATGGGAGGCTCATTACATCAGGACAGATGGGAGGCTCATTACATCAGGACAGATGGGAGGCTCATTACATCAGGACAGATGGGAGGCTCATTACATCAGGACAGATGGGAGGCTCATTACATCAGGACAGGTGGGAGGCTCATAAAGAAAAAAGCATCACTGCATATGTTACAGCAAAATACATGACATCTAGAGATGCATATGAAAAAATAAGTGACATCAATATCTATATATATATATGTATGTATGTATTGATGTCACTTATTTTGTCACATTTCACACAAACAACATAATATGTGACATACATACATACATACATACATGTACGCGCACACAAATACAGATATATAGACAGATAGACGGACAGACATAATATTACACACACACACATATTTATATACACACACACACACACAATAAAATACATGGCACTCAATACATACAACAAAATACATGACATAATTTATACATGCACACAAAATACATGACATAATTTATACATGCACACAAAATACATGACATCCACATACACATACAACAAAATATATGACATCTACATATACATACAACAAAATATATGACACTGATACATACATACAAAAAGATACAAGTCATCTGCACATACCTGAATATAATGTTGGCAGCAATAAAACATGGGAAGAAGAGTAAGACTTTGAGTGACCAGTGGGCAGTCAGCTCTGGGATGAAGCCGAGGACAAAGATGGCAACAAAAGGTAGGATATAAGCAGTTCTCATTCTGTAAGTCTGAAACAATCAAGGTTTCAGCTCAAATCACATGTGCTAACAATAACCAATACAATAAACTTTGACCTTGAATCACTTGTGCCAACATTGTCTGAAATAATCAAGGTTTGATTTCAGATCATCTGTGTCAATAGTGTCTGTAACAATTAGGGTTTGATCTCAAATCACCTGTGTCAATAGTGTCTGAAACAATCAAAGTTTGACCTCAAATCACCTGTGTTAACACTGTCTAAAACAACCAAGATTTCACCTCAGATCACCTGTGTCAATAGTGTCTGAAACAATCAAAGTTTGATCTCAAATCACCAGTGTGAATAGTGTCTGAAACAATCAAGGTTTGACCTCAAATCACCTGTGTTAATCCTGTCTAAAACAACCAAGATTTCACCTCAGATCACCTGTGTCAACAATGTTTGCAAATATCAGAGGGAGACTGGAAAAGAAGGTCAGAGTCCTTGAGCAGCTACAAGTAGCTCTGTCTGACTGCAACCTTCTCACATCAACTGCAGGTGGGAGGTTATCACAGAGTACAGACGTTCATACAGAATCTATTCATCAATACAGGGAACAGCAGAGAACAAGTACACAAGCTTATACAGAGTCCATTTATCTATATTAGGGATGGCAGAGAAAAAGTACAGAAGCTTATACAGAGTCCATTTATCTATATTAGGGATGGCAGAGAAAAAGTATAGAAGCTTATACAGAGTCTATTTATCTATATTAGGGATGGCAGAGAAAAAGTACAGAAGTTCATACAGTCCAATCCATCAACAATGGGGACGGCAGAGAAAAAGTACAAAAGCTCATACAGAGTCCAATCCATCAACACTGGGGACGGCAGAGAAAAAGTACAAAAGCTCATACAGAGTCCAATCCATCAACACAGGGGACTGCAGAGACATTTCCAGTAGGCTGAGTAAAAGTGTCAGGTGTCAAAGGTCAACACACCTAGGAACAGATAATGAAACTGGTGATCTGTTAAATCTTCAATGTCTACATTATTTCTGAGGTAACAATTTGTCAGTGTCACTAACACACATGCAGATTCACAAGGATCAACAGTGAGCACAAGCGCAGTGTTGCCAACACACACTCAAGCTTCCATACTATACACATGCCGTCTACCAGAATGTGTACCAAATGAAACCATCGGTTTATCTTGTGTCATTCACCCGGAGAAAACAGGTAGAACTGTCAACTAGACAGGTGTACTAACACTTGTACCATTCACCTGGAGGAAACAGGTAGAACTGTCAACTAGACAGGTGTACCAACACTTGTACTGTCAGAAGCCAGTTCGGCTACAAGATGAACAGAGTTGATGATAGTGAATCATCACGTATGAATGAGTTGACCTTCAGTAAAGCTCAGTGTGGGAGCGGGCAACTTGACCACGGAATAAACTGGGTTGAGTTTAACTGGCTAAGCCCAGTTCACACGGTTGACAAGGACTACCGCTTGTCGAGGGATGAACGCAGAGGGGAACAAAAGAGCTGAGACAGAACGAACTGGGGGAGTGGTGTAGTGACACTGGACCCGACCAGGCGTAGCGCTTCGACTAGCTTAAAATACAGTAGTTTAGTGATGGCTAAAATAAATAGGATTTGTGTTTAGTATCTTTGATAGACTGTGTTTCCATTTAATGTTTCGACACAATAGTGTGGAGTTAACGTTCCTTGTATAGTATTTGTTAAGCAGCTAGTGAATGTATGACACGCATTGTTAATGGCATTATCACTGCCCAGTCACGCTTAGGCCATACACCTTACGTGTGTCGCTAAGTCCCATGTGGCAATAGGTGGTAGCTTAGTTAGCACTGATAAACGGTTAGTTTGGAGTAGTGTTCTTGTAGATCCATGGGAACGACTCGGGTTGACCAGTGAATGTAAAAGCTGCTTGATGATTATAGTAAATCAGGTCGCTGACATGTACCATTCACCTGGAGGAAACAGGTAGAACTGTCAACTAGACAGGTGTAACAACACTTGTACCATTCACCTGGAGGAAACAGGTAGAACTGTCAACTAGACAGGTGTACCAACACTTGTACCATTCACCTGGAGGAAACAGGTAGAACTGTCAACTGGACAGGTGTACCAACACTTGTACCATTCACCTGGAGGAAACAGGTAGAACTGTTAACTAGACAGGTGTACCAACACCCGTACCATTCACCTGGAGAAAACAGGTAGAACTGTCCACTGGACAGGTGTACCAACACATGTACTATTCACCTGGAGAAAACAGGTAGAACTGTCCACTGAACAGGTGTACCAACACTTGTACCATTCACCTGGAGGAAACAGTTAGAACTGTCCACTGGACAGGTGTACCAACACTTGTACCATTCACCTGGAGGAAACAGGTAGAACTGTCAACGACAGGTGTACCAACACTTGTACCATTCACCTGGAGGAAACAGGTAGAATTGTCAACTAGATAGGTGTACCAATACTTGTACCATTCACCTGGAGGAAACAGGCAGAACTGTCAACTAGATAGGTGTTCCAACACTTGTACCATTCACCTGGAGGAAACATGTAGAATTGTCAACTAGATAGGTGTACCAACACTTGTACTATTCACCTGAAGGAAACAGTTAGAACTGTCAACTAGACAGGTGTAACAACACTTGTACCATTCACCTGGAGAAAACAGGTAGAACTGTCCACTGGACAGGTGTACCAACACTTGTACCATTCACCTGGAGGAAACAGGTAGAACTGTCAACTAGATAGGTGTACCAACACTTGTACCATTCACCTGGAGGAAACAGGTAGAACTGTCCACTGGACAGGTGTACCAAGACTTGTACCATTCACCTGGAGGAAACAGGTAGAACTGTCAACTAGATAGATGTTCCAACACTTGTACCATTCACCTGGAGAAAACAGGTAGAACTGTCCACTGGACAGTTGTACCAACACTTGTACCATTCACCTGGAAGAAACAGGTAGAACTGTCAACTAGATAGGTGTACCAACACTTGTACCATTCACCTGGAGAAAACAGGTAGAACTGTCCACTGGACAGGTGTACCAACACTTGTACCATTCACCTGGAGTAAACAGGTAGAACTGACAATGACAGGTGTACCAACACTTGTACCATTCACCTGGAGGAAACAGGTAGAATTGTCAACTAGATAGGTGTACCAATACTTGTACCATTCACCTGGAGGAAACAGGCAGAACTGTCAACAAGATAGGTGTTCCAACACTTGTACCATTCACCTGGAGGAAACAGGTAGAACTGTCAACTAGACAGGTGTACCAACACTTGTACCATTCACCTGGAGAAAACAGGTAGAACTGTTAACTAGACAGGTGTACCAATACTCGTACCATTCACCTGGAGAAAACAGGTAGAACTGTCCCCTGGACAGGTGTACCAACACTTGTACCATTCACCTGGAGGAAACAGGTAGAACTGTCAACAACAGGTGTACCAACACTTGTACCATTCACCTGGAGGAAACAGGTAGAATTGTCAACTAGACAGGTGTAACAATACTTGTACCATTCACCTGGAGGAAACAGGCAGAACTGTCAACTAGATAGATGTTCTAACACTTGTACCATTCACCAGGAGAAAACAGGTAGAACTGTCCACTGGACAGGTTTACCAACACTTGTACCATTCACCTGGGAGGAAACAGGTAGAACTGTCAACTAGATAGGTGTACCAACACTTGTACCATTCACCTGGAGAAAACAGGTAGAACTGTCCACTGGACAGGTGTACCAACACTTGTACAATTCACCTGGAGGAAACAGGTAGAACTGTCAACTGGACAGGTGTACCAACACTTGTACCATTCACCTGGAGGAAACATGTAGAATTGTCAACTTGATAGGTGTACCAACACTTGTACCATTCACCTGGAGAAAACAAGTAGAATGGCCAACTAGATAGGTGTACCAACACTTGTACCATTTACCCGGAGAAAACAGGTAGAACTGTCAACTAGACAGGTGTACCAACAATTGTACCATTCACCTGGAGGAAACAGGTAGAACTGTCAACTAGACAGGTGTACCAACAATTGTACTATTCACCTGGAGGAAACAGGTAGAACTGTCAACTAGACAGGTGTACCAACAATTGTTCGATTCACCTGGAGGAAAAAGGTAGAGCTGTTAACTGGACAGGTGTACCAACACTTGTACCATTCACCTGGAGGAAACGGGTAGAATTGGCAACTATACAGATCCATAACCATTGCAGCACTGTGGCAATGCAGGGAGACTGTGGACTCTCCATGAACATAATCATATATCATAGACATTGCCATGCTACAACTCTAATCCTGCATTGCTAAAAAACTGACCTTGTTGGAGGTATATTTGCCCAGGATGCTCTGTTTGGCAGCTTGTGCTGCAGCCTGCATCTCCCTCAGCTTTTTCACCAGGTCCCCATTGCTCTGGTTGATGGCAATGTCCAGAGGGCTCTCTCCCTGTCAGAAGCACACATACATACAAAGATAATTCACAAAATGTTGGCTTTTGGATCTAATGATAACCTATGGCAAGATCTCAACAGATGACATGTGTCCCAGATGTATGGCTGCCACAGCTGTAGCTTCTTCCGACACAACCCACTGGCTGTTTCATAGTCACTGCTCAGGTCAACCTGAGACAACCCTGGCCACATACTACTCTAGTCTCAGACAACTGTAACATGAAACATATAGTAAACAAAACTATAGTCACACACAATCCAGGCCACATACAATTTTTGTCACAGGAAACTGTAACATATAACTCTGGCCATAGACAACCCTAGCCTCATATAACTCTGGTCATAGACAACCCTGGCCTCATATAACTCTGGTCATAGACAACCCTGGTCTCATATAACTCTGGTCATAGACAACCCTGGCCTCATATAACTCTGGTCATAGACAACTGTAACATATAACTCTGGTCATAGACAACTGTAACATATAACTCTGGTCATAGACAACCCTGGCCTCATATAACTCTGGTCATAGACAACCCTGGCCTCATATAACTCTGGTCATAGACAACCCTGGCCTCATATAACTCTGGTCATAGACAACCCTGGTCTCATATAACTCTGGTCATAGACAACCCTGGCCTCCTCTGGTCATAGACATATGGCCTCTCTCTGGTCATAGACAACCTGGCCTCATATAACTCTGGTCATAGACAACCCTGGTCTCATATAACTCTGGTCATAGACAACCCTGGCCTCATATAACTCTGGTCATAGACAATCCTGGCCTCATATAACTCTGGTCATAGACAACTGTAACCTATAACTCTGGTCATAGACAACTGTAACATATAACTCTGGTCATAGACAACCCTGGCCTCATATAACTCTGGTCATAGACAACCCTGGCCTCATATAACTCTGGTCATAGACAACCCTGGCCTCATATAACTCTGGTCATAGACAACCCTGGCCTCATATAACTCTGGTCATAGACAACCCTGGCCTCATATAACTCTGGTCATAGACAACCCTGGCCTCATATAACTCTGGTCATAGACAACATATAACTCTGGTCATAGACAACTGTAACATATAACTCTGGTCATAGACAACCCTGGCCTCATATAACTCTGGTCATAGACAACCCTGGCCTCATATAACTCTGGTCATAGACAACCCTGGCCTCATATAACTCTGGTCATAGACAACTGTAACATATAACTCTGGTCATAGACACCCTGGTCTCATATAACTCTGGTCATAGACAACTGTAACATATAACTCTGGTCATAGACAACCCTGGCCTCATATAACTCTGGTCATAGACAACCCTGGTCTCATATAACTCTGGTCATAGACAACTGTAACATATAACTCTGGTCATAGACAACTGTAACATATAACTCTGGTCATAGACAACCCTGGCCTCATATAACTCTGGTCATAGACAACTGTAACATATAACTCTGGTCATAGACAACCCTGGCCTCATATAACTCTGGTCATAGACAACCCTGGCCTCATATAACTCTGGTCATAGACAACCCTGGCCTCATATAACTCTGGTCATAGACAACCCTGGCCTCATATAACTCTGGTCATAGACAACCCTGGTCTCATATAACTCTGGTCATAGACAACCCTGGTCTCATATAACTCTGGTCATAGACAACTGTAACATATAACTCTGGTCATAGACAACCCTGGCCTCATATAACTCTGGTCATAGACAACC